CAGCAGAAACTTTTAAAACTGTATGATATATAAGAGCCGTGGTGGCGTAGTGATTATAATGCAGTATTGCAGGCTAACTCTGTCAACTGCCGGCCGTTCAGTCCTGACCAGCTCCAAGTTCATCCTTCTGAGGTCAATAAAATGAGAAGCCAGATTATTGGGGAGTTTAGAGAGGGCTGTAAAGCTCTATGAAGCGGTATATAAGTTGAATTGCTATTTCTATCAAAGCCCTCCTCCCATTATTTATCCCTGTGATTGTTTTCTTTCTGCCTTCACTGGATCCATATGGTGGATTATGGTCCATCATCTTCAATAAAGAGTCGTTCATCTTGCAGAGGATTCAGGTTGCTGACAACAACAGCATTAGTAAATGTTAGTGCTTCATTGAGACTACAAGTGTTTAATGAGATACTAAACATATTCTAAATCTTTTTTTGTATCTATTATATATAATATGCAATTTTTAATTTACTGTAGCCAAATAACATTAGTGTTTTTTAATAGTAGCAGTATTTGTTTGACTTTCATGGTTGTGTTTGATCTCATGGTACTATATAAAAAGACACCTATCTGAAATAGGGGAATCATTATACTGCTTTTTAATTTCTTCTATGGTATTTAGGACACATGCACACACAGCTTTTATAATTTAGTGTTAATGCCTCCCTGCTTTCTTGCTTCGACAGGTAAGTTTTGAAAGGAGGAGCTGAAGGACAGAATAATGGTAAGATAAAGGAGGTGGCAGAGCAAGTCTGTCCAGAAAAAAAACCGCCGAGTCAGCCAAACAGCGCCACCTAGGGGGACTCCTAGAGAAGTCCTTTTCCATCTCTCCCTGGCTCCCTGGAACAGTCTTCACCCCAAAGTCCACCCAGCTCCGGAGCTATGGGGTCTCTGCAAAAGTAGGAAGACCTGAGCTTTTTCAGCAGGAAGGCTAGTTGTAACCCGGCTTTTGAATTATGCTTTTTTGTTGTTGTTGTGTAACAGATTTTGACTGTTTGCCCAGTATGGATCCGAACTATTTTCTTATTTTATTTGTATTTCATAATCCTTCCCCTTTTTTAATTAAGCATTTTAAGGAAAAGAAGAGTGAAAAAGCACATGCTCAGAGGGGGGAAAAGAGGGGATAAGGAAAAAGGAACGTTGGGGTGGGATGCTCCAAGAGATGAATCACCGATGGAGGAAGGCCTAAGACAAGTCTGTCCATGGATAAGCGTGTTTATTAGAGATTGCTTCCTAGCTACAAAGGAAATGGAATGTCAATATTTCTCCATTCTCATTTTATCCAATGACAGTCATCCAGTAGTGGTCTCAGTCCCCGCTGAGTAGGGAGGCCCCCTTGAAACATCTGTTGGGCTGCTGTGAGAATTATTCAGGCTAATTGGCAAACAATGTTGCTCAGATGTGCTTAGTCTTGGCCTCTGATGGGGCAGAGCAGGTATCAGGTACATGGTGTAGTAACGTGATTGGGAAAGTTTAAGCAGGTCACTCCTGAGGGAATGGACAGAGCTCTATGTACTAACAGCTGGGCCACCTGTGTATTGGATTCAGGTCCTAGTGGGTCATGAAAACGGCCAAGGAGATGACATACTGTTAGTTCCAAGCTATCGTGCCAACCTGTTTGATAGAGGAGATGGTGACTCTTCCCTTGAAAAAGGCAGAAATGCCCACCCCTCCTCAAAAGGACTCAGTGGTTTTCAATAACTTGTGATCAGTCTCCAGACTTCCCTTTTTGGGGAAGATTGCTGAGAAGGAGTTGGTCTGCAACTGATGAGAATCCTGGGGGGAAATGGGTAATATAGATCCATTTCAATTCGGTTTCAGTTTCTAATACTCATGCTTATAGATAGATTGTGGCAGAGCCAGGATTGAGGTATTGCCTATATCCTTCTCCTAGGTGGCTTTTGGTACTTTAGCTTGCAAAATATCAAATTTATACAGTAATTAAGCACAGACAGGTAAATTATAATAGAAATAAGTGTTTTGTAATAAGCCAATGTTATGTAAACATCAAGGAAAACATTTAGCCTCTTGGTCTATGTACCACAGCCTGAAGGAACCTTCTCACATATAGACTGATTGAAAATCACCTAGTCCAGTGCCCGGTGCAGGATGCATTGGCACACTATCCTTGACACATGTATACAAACAATTGCAGTGAAAGAGAATCCATCTCTGTGGACAGTTGTTTCCTGCTGAATAACTTCTATCATTAGGAAACTCTTCCTGATATGCAAATAGACCTCCCCCTTGGGCTTAACTGGAATATGCAATAAAAAATCTTGACCCCCATGTCCAAAAGGGGAGGAACAGGCTCAGCTAAAGCAAAACATAGCTATCCTATTAGAAACCAGGTGATTTCAGGACTAACCCATGCTTGATTTTTGAGGGGCTGTGTTTGCGAAGAGAACTGATTGAACCAGAAAGGGGGAGTTACAGTTCATTTCCAAAAGGGCCAGTACGCAGCTTAGGCTATTAGCATTACTTGGACAAGGATGCATTGAGGACCATCCCTCATGCTCTTCTCTTCTGGACTGTAATTTGCTGCTATCTGGAGACCAAGTGGGAACTTCAGCATACTCCATCTGCCATGGAAGTGCCTGTTGCTAAGGCGGTGCATTGGTCAGGAAGGGGGCTTTTTTAAAGCTTTGCCATGCTCTTGGGAAGGATAGCAAGACCAGAAGGTTGAACTAGGCATCTGAAATTAGGACTCCACCAAGAATCAAGGCCAGTGTTGACACATAAAGGATATCATCAACATGATGGTTTTCTGCTGACTCAGGAATGGCTGGACAGTACTCTGATTTTCCTGTGAACAAGGACTCAAATGTCACCTCAGAGATTTGGGTATTTTAGGTGGGCAGAGGAGATGAAGCAACTGAAGAACAGCTTTAGAGATAAATGGGGAACTCAGCACAACTAGCAAAACACATTCCATGCCTTTAGAAAGGATTCATTAATTTTAAAGGGATTACTGAGCCTGGACAGATGAAGGATTGCTGTATCAGAGCTTCACACCAGGCACACCACTTCCCACACGATCAATCTCTAGGGGTGATAGTTATAGAGATAATTAGCAGACAGTTCTGCACTTGTGTCTCTCTTCTTTCTCTTGACTCTCATCTACAAGTTCAGATACTCTGGAATAGTAGACTGTCAAGAGACTTAAGTAACTCAGTCTTCCCTTTTCACAATGTTATTTCCTAAATGAAACTTATTTACTTTTCTTTCACACAAGCATCAATCTCAGTAATACTTTCTTTGAAAAGTTATCTCATAACTTTCTGCATGCCTTCTTTTGTTCAATCAAATGGCCTGGGCAAACCACACCCTGTATTAGCAAAAACGTATTCAGAATACAAAAACGTGTATAATTCTCCTTTGAATTAAGGCTTAAATTCACCATGGACAAATAGACAGCAATATAAATACAATAAATAATTAAATAAATTACTTTAATAAGTAATTTATTACTTGTAAATCTCAACCTAAATTGGCCTGATCAACTGGCAGTTGCTAAATAAAAATTTTTATCACGTTTTTACTTTGAAACTGAAATGTATAAGTGTGGCTTTCAGTAATATACAAATATACTTTCCAGAGCCTTCAGGGAATAAGAAGGACTTATTTTTTATTCTGGAAAGCTCTGAAATAATTAATAGTGCATTCTTACATATGCTTGCTGAGATATAAATATGTCAATGTTTAATGTGAGTTGTTTCCAAGTTAATAGGAATAAATCATAACCGAAATGCCAACATAGTGTCCAATTTAGCTGAGAGTATATGTTATTAATTCCTTAGCATTGGTATAATAACGAATATGCCTACACTCCAAGAAAAAAGGCTAGATTTTCTATGAATGAGAAAGACATGGAAACTTACATTTTGTTATATTAGTTTTATTTACAAACATACAAGTGTTTCATAATGGCAGATCTATTAGCCCACATCTTTTTCTTAGGAGAAACACCTTCACCTCCAGGTAAAGGGAAAGCTAATAAGGTGCATGGACGTCTCCTTAGAAGGCGTTAGGCTCTGTTATTTTACCTACAACATCCAGTACAGACAACAATAGATGGCATACTACGGGACAATCTTCCCTTGGTGGTGTCTGCCCATTCTGCTAAATCTGGCAGGAATGGCAGGCTCTGGATCCCATCTGCAAGAGAGGACCATCTGGCGGGATCTAGGGGAAAGCGTTTCCTGCCATGGTACCTGGGAGCATCATGGCTCCAGAGATCAGACTTGCCCTGTGCCTGCTGGGACCCTGGCAGGATGAGTGAGCGCATGGCTGTATTGAGCATGGGATGTTGTGAGTGTTCTCTGCTGATATTTTATGCTATTTAGTCATTTATAATTTTGGTTCTGTTTCCGTTATTAGTCACCCAGCGTCCTATATATGAAATGGGTGGCCATATAAAATCATTAAGTAAATAGGAATGGGAAATGCCATTTCTTTTATTTCAGTGGCCTGCAATGACTTGTTTTCCAAGCCCATGAAAAATGTAAGTGTATCAAAATATTTGGGAGCTGAGTTCAAGAAAGTGGCATTTTCCGGGTTATCTGAGGGACCGTCTCTTGCCGGTCACATCTACCTGACCCTTTAGGGCAGGGAAGCAGAGAATGTTGCAAGTCCCATCCCCTAGGGAGATACACCTGGTGGGACCCAGAAGAAGGGCCTTCTCCGTGGTGGCTCCCTCTCTCTGGAATATCACTCCCCCAGAGATTCGAATGGCCCCCACTCTAGCACTCTTCCGGAAGGCACTGAAAACTTGGTTTTGTCAGCGGGCCTGGGGAACCCAGTGGGGGATGGAGCCCATCAGATGGCTAGTGTGATCTGCTGTTGTCAGGGCAGGGGGTGGGAGTTGGGGGGTGATGTTTTTTTCCCAGATTTTGTTCTATTGTATTTTAATTAATTTATTTGATTCTTTTTGTTAGCTTTTATTTTTTGTTTTTATTTTTTGTTTTAAATATGGTTTTACATTGTGTAAGCCGCCTCAAGTCGCCATGGGTGAATAGGCAGCAATATAAATTAATTAAATAAGTAAATTTTAGCAAAACAGAACAAAATGTTTATGATAAGAGATGTCAGAAATACCTCAGGAATGTCCAGATTTCAGGAACAATTTGAGAGAAATAAATCAAGAAAAAAATTGTGAGAGAAACAGGTGCGGGTAGTCCTAGCTTAATTATCATTCGTTCATTGTCTATTTGAAGTTACTGAATGTCCCTTACTCCAGTCCTTGAAGTTATGACTGTTGCAGTTACACAATCAAAATCCGGGTGCTTTGGCAGCCTGTTTGTACTTATGGCCACAGTATTGCTTCAACTCCTATAGCTGCCCACCTCCCTCCCTCTTTGGGCCGCCCTGCACAGCAGCCCTCCTTGAAGGTGGTCATGCTGGGGCTGAAATAGATTGGCACTTTCACAGCCTGTAATGGGATGCGTGAATGGCTCTGGGGCATGAAGGCAAGAGATATGCTGCCCAGGGAACAACCAGACAAGATAGGCAGGAGCGCTCAGGGACTTAGCAGTCAGAGAAGAAAGCTTAGGATGGACCTGTCCTAAGATTAGACTGAAAAGTAGGAGCAAACAACATAATGCAGTCATAGGTGATATGAAAACAAATCTGTCTTGTAAGCTTTGTACAGATTTTAAGAAAACTTACTTCTAGCAGTATTATATATTCAAAAATGGAATCAAAGCAGAGTTTACAGGCATTTCTATGGCGTTTTTGTCCGTATGTCTTAAAAAATGTATGGCTAATATTGGAAAAGCTCTCCAGTACTGGCATAATTAAAGATATAGCTCCTTGCATTTTAAGTCCCACTTCATAAAGCACCATGAATCCATCTTTGGGTTGACTGTTCTCATATTATTTTGGTCACTTTCTTGATCCAAGGCACAAATTTGCTGACCTTTGTATAAACACCAGGAGAATCTTTTTGCCCACACCCATATCCCCAGGAAGTAATCCCTAGAATTACCCATTGTGTGTTTGGTCTTTGACACACCAAGGGTCCTCCACTGTCCCCTTGACAGCTGTCTACCCGATTGTCTTCAGAAAGATTTCCAGCACAGAGCATCCGATTAGTAAATTTCTTTCCATAACGAGATTTGCATACTTTTCTTGGGAGAAGAGCCACGGTTCCCTGGAGTAACATCCTTGAGTATGATCTTCCTGGAAGAATAATTAATATTCATGATGCAATTCAATACAGGGAACAACAAAACAGATGGAAAAAAAAATCATTGGGAGAGTAGAATTATAACTTTTTGGGATATGGCTTTTAATGATTGTTCATAATACTTTTTTAAAAACAAAGTTCATTTTGTTGTGAGCTATCTTGGACACCTGGTTTTTAAAACCATACATTCTGATTTAAAAGTTGTTTTTGTATTTACACTTATTTATTTAAAATATTTTACCCCACTTTTTAAAGTTAAAAAGCCTTCAAGGAGCCTTCAAGGAGCTACAAAAATAATTTAAAATAAATTTAGAATGGGATCTACATTTCAAACAATTTTAAAATGTGTAAAATAATATATTTAAAATATCAATCTATCAAGAAATAAGAATCAATTTGTAGCTAAGCTAAATAGGCTAGGAACAAAAGGGGGGTGTTGTTGAAAGTCCAGGTCTCTGGAATCTGAGAGAGCTGGAGGCAGAACTTCAGTTTGAAAAAAATTCCACTCTCATGTCCCCGCAGCTGACAGGGAGTGGGAGTGTGGCTCCGGTGGCTGTGGAGGAAACTGGGGAAGGGCAAAGTCCAGCTGGGCAGAGCAGGGGAGAGGTAGAGCAAGGCAGAGGGAATTCAGAGGAAGACCCAGGCCCACCCCCTCTTCAACCTAGTGCACGCAGGGAGGAACAGAGAAGGGAGCAATGTGGATTGGGTGGCTTACGGGGAAGGAAAGGGCCCTGATTCTCTTCATTAGCTGCAACTGAGAATAGAATGTTTAAAAAAGGAGTTTGTGCACAGCAACTCGTGGGAAGCAAATCGTGGGTTATCTTTTATGGTTGAGGCTTATCTGGGTTCCTGACATCTTCCCAACTGTGTGTGTTTTGTTGGCCTTTGAAGTCTGCAATTCCTTCTCCTGCCCTGTCCAGTTTATTGCTGCAGCGTGGTTTGTTTGGATTTTTATTTACAGTTTGTATGTATTTTGTTTTGGGACTGAATTTCCTCCACTTAAAGATTGTTCTTGGGAGAGTTTTTTCTCCAGCCAAAGGTAACTGGACATTGGGGGCAAAGTTGGAGGTATTAAAGGGACTTTTCTTACTTATGTGACTGTGTTGCCTTTGTGCCATGCCTTGGGTCATCACATCCACCAAAACAGAGGCCAACAAAAAGGCCACATTTTTATTTCAATTATTTCATTTTTATTACATAGATTTAAAGAATGCCCTACTCTGGAAGGTTTGCATAATAAAAAGTAAAAAAAATCAGAATAAAGTATTACTCTTAGTAATATATTCTCTTTTCTTTTTACTCAAGTATACACTATTCCTTTTCAGCAGTGTAAATTTAAACAAAAGGATAATTTAAGTAGCAATCCTTGGAAGACAATACCCATCCTGAATAAAAGCAACCAATCTGCACAAGTGGATTCCTGATACTAAGAAATAATCGTACTGATACTGATAGTACTAATAATACTAATAATCTTATTTCACCAATTATTTTCTAATACAGAGGTCCCCCAACCACCAGGCTGCGCAAACAGCCGGTGAATGTACATGCACAAGAGGCAGACACTCTCTTGTGCACATGAAGCTCCATTTGTGTGATTGACCGGTGCACCCAACACTCACGCAAATGGAACTTCATTTGTGCACACGTGCCCACCGTTTGCACAAATGGAGCTGCACACACATGGTTGCACGGAATCATTTCCCCTCCCCTGCCAGTCGGCACAGCCAGAAAGGCTGGGGACCACTGTTCTAATACACACTGATTCAGAAAAAGTTGGTACTTCAGTGATCCTAATTATGGATTTAATTAATAACACTGCTTTATTTTAGGATTAGTTCCTAGTGAAGGTGCCCTTTGCTCTTAGTACAGTGCTAGTCCTTAAGAATCCTGAGAATTCTGTTCTAGTACACTATTAAATGCTGGGTGTAATTCCTTGGAGCACCCTAAAGGCCAGTCTGTCTGTTACAGAATATTTTACTAATCTGGGATTTAAGTACATACCTTACACTGAATTCATGACCCTATCTAAAATGTAACTTGAAAATCTAAAATAAGGGTTCATGAAATTTATTTTTAAAATTGTCTTAGTGTACTTACAGGTAAGAAGCAGATTTGGCATGCAATAATTCCTCAAATCCTATAAATTATATAATTGCCCAGTTTTTATCTCTACAAGCAGACCTCCTTTAGCAGCTGTGTCCTGTTTAGTATCGGTTTGCGGATGGAAAAATAACTTTGCAGCTAATCTTTGTATTTAGAAGTATGTAAAATAAAAAGGTAAGTAAAATCTTAAGCAGAGTTATTTATTTTATTTATTTGATTAGTCAATCGCTTACAAGGTAATAGGTATAAGGATAAACATAGTTATGAATACATGAAATGAATACATATTAGAAAAATAAAACAAACAATAGGACAGAGATGGTAGGCACGTTGGTGCATTATGGTTTCACTTAGCAACTGCTTCACTTAACAACCAAGTTCCTGTCCCCAGTTGCTAAACAAGGACTACTTGTACTTCCAAAAAGGAAAATGTTGAGAGGAGAAAGATTAGGATAATTGTAGGACCTAGGTGGCAATTTGAGAATTTCTACATGTTTAATATGACTATATACACTATGTCCTATTTTTCCTACTTATGGTGATTTTATTATGGTTTTAGCTTAATATTTTATCTTGTATATTGCATTGTCCATATTGTATATGTATATGTACATGTACATAAACACATACAGACACATATTTTATTTAAACTTCTATTTGTGTATCAGTGATTGCATGACCTCTGTAAATACCATACACTAAATAAAATAAATAAGCCCTTCCTGCTACTATCAAGATGCATTTGGAAGCATCAGCATGTGTTGGCAGGAAATATGTATATGTATTATATGTATTATAATAATACATATAAAATAATAATAATTTGAAAAACGTGTGTATAAATATATGCCTGCGTATATTGGTGTGTCTGTCTGTGTGTAGAAACAAGATCAAAATGCAAAAGTAGCATTTACTACTATATTGATTTTTTACAAGTGGACTTTCTAAGTAATGTTGAAATCAAGACAAAAAAAGAGAAGATGTAAAGAAAGAGAGAGAGAGAAAATAGCTTTCTGGTAGAGGTTAATCTTTTGTCCTCCCCTCTTCTAGTTAATGTTGACATAACACCTAAGTACATCAAATCAGCTTGTGGTTTGCGGTTTCAGGGCAGAGAAGTAAACAAAAAGATAAAAAATAAAAGCAAAGAAGGGGAAATCCTGCCTTTTCTTTCACACGTTCACAAAACATAATCATTCAACTCACAGGAGCATTTACTGCCTTCAAACAGAGAGAGATTCTCTCTCTTTTCCCTTACTTGGGTAATTGCTGCTTAAGGGAAAGTTACAGAGAGCATATAAATATGAATGGGGTGGATATAATAGCAGTCTTCCAATATTTGAGGGGTGTCACAGAGACGGGGTGACAACCCATTCGCCAAAGCAAAGGAAGGAAAGAGGAAGCAATGGGTGGAAACTTGTCAAGGAAAGATCCAAACTAGAACTAAGGAGAAATTGAATAGTTTTCACAGTGAGAACGGTTAACTAGTGGAATGGCTTGCCTTCAGAAGTCATGGATGTTCCATCACTAGAGATTTTTCAGAAAAGACTGGATAGCCATTGTCTGGAATGGTAAAAGGTCTCCTGTCATGGGCAGAAGGTTGGACTAGAAGACCTCAAAGGACCCTTCCAACCCTCTATGTTCTAAATATACCTCCTTAATAACCAACTACTGGAAAGACATACTGGGGAAGAGCAAGGCTAGAGCTTTTAGAGCCCAACTGGGTGGGCATCACCCCCTCCATTTGGCAGGTATGCTTTCACAAACATCCCCCATAGTAGGTATCTCTAGCCTAATGAAGCGGTGATATGAGTCACAGTGGTGCAGTGGTGCGAATATAGAATTGCAGGCTATTTCTGCCTACTGCCAGGAGTTCAATCCTGACCAGTTCAGGGTTGATTTCAACCTTCCATTTTTCCACGATCGGTAAAATGAGGACCCGGATTATTAGGGGCAATATGCTGACATTTGTAAATTGCTCAGAGAATGCTGAGAGAAGCACATTGCAGCCATAGTTAGTGCTCCTGCTATTGCTGCAGTCGCAGTCTTCCAGTCTCCTGCTCAGCAAGGTCCTTCAAGGTGTCTTCCAACTCTGTGATTCTGTGATTCTGAAATGATGGCAAATGTAGTGCAACACATCTGGAGATCATCAGAGTAACAGTTGGAAGGGACCTTGGAGGTCTTCTAGTCCAACCCCCTGCTCAAAGAGGAGACCCTATATCATTTCAGACAAATGGCTGTTCAATCTCTTCTTAAAAATCTCCAGTGACAGAGTACCTAAAACTTGTTTCACTAGTAAATTGTTCTCACTGTCAGGAAATTTCTTCGTAGTTCTAGGTTGCTGCTTCTTTCAATTCATTACTTCTTGTCTTGCCTTCTGTTGCTTTGGAAGGCCCAGAAGATTGAGCTGTCATTTTTTTTTTTTTTTGAAATATAACTAGATAACTATCTAAAATAGTATGAGCATTTCTGAGTACAACAGTGGGTCTTTTATTTATAATGGGATTTATTTATTTGTTTATATTTATTTCAACCATCCATCTCCCTCACCTAGTTTCCTATTTACATCCTTTTTAGAAACTACTGGGTGTAAAATATATACATTCATCTATCATATAAATCAGAACTATAGGAGATACATCATCATGTCATATTTCATACCCATCCTTTCCGCCAATGAAGTCTTCAACAGGTTTACAGGCTTACACAGTGACAGTTATTAAATTCAACTTCATTAAGTTGAAATGTTTAAACAGAGCTAACCTGGCTGCATTTCTCTTCATTTTAAAAGTAGTGGTGGTGGACGTGTCCCCAAGCATGAAAGTATTGGCTCAAAATTCGAGCATGGTTAGAGGAGTTAACAAAACAAAAGATCAAGTTCAAACCAGAGATTTTTCTGTTAGGTATGTTAACAGAAACACCAACACTTAATATTACACATTATAACCGCTGCAAGAATCTCTCTAGCTCAAAACTAGAAACTGACCACGATACCCACAGATCTAGCGGTGATTAATAAGATACATTAATGCGCAGAAATGATTAGACTATGTTATTAAAAAACAGGGAAGAAGAATATTTCACAATATAGTATAACTGGTTGGAAAAAAAAGAGGAGTAAAAATGTTTTGTGAAAATGACCAATAAAATCGTAAAAAAAAATGTGATATATGATTTACATGTGTGTATATATGTGAAATAATGTAGGTAGATAAGTATTGCACTTTAACAGTAGCATAATAAGTAAAGAACTAGCAAATTAGCTACAGATATACCTATGGTAAATGAACTTAATTGTTATTAAAGGATATGTACACTGCTATGATATCACTATAAAATGTGAGAATTTGTTTCTTTTTAAAAAAAAATTAATAAATAAATATTTTTAAAAAGTAATGTTATTTAATTTCAAGTTCATTTGACAAAAAGTCACTGTTTTTGCTTTCCACTGATTATTTATTATGCACTTGAAACTCTCATTCTGTAGGAGGTGGTAAATGCCATCAAAGTTTTTCCGAAGTTGCAAGTAGAGGGGACTAACTTCTCTATTTATTCTTCGATGTCCCATGTGGAAGTTATGAGGCAGCCCAGCACTCACCTGTATCTCCCCAGCCTGATATGACACAAGACTTTCGGTCCACTGCAGCCTTCTGCTTCCCAACAGGGAGGCAGACTGGAAAGACATGGTGGCTGAAGGAAAGACAGTTGTCCTCTTTGCCCCACATCCTGACCAGAGCAATGTCATTATCATTACTGCTCGACTGATAATTTCTATGAAGGAGGATCTTCTCCACCGGTAACTCTCTCTCCGAATCATCTCTCACACCGGTATGATGGTCTCCCACCCGCAGAAGGTAACGACGAACGTCTACCCCAAATCTGCCCACAAAAGAGTCACAAACCAGTTAGTTTTCAATGAAGATGCTTCATCTCAAGGAGACCTCTTTCTTTCTTTCAACTAGAAAGGAGCTTTCTTAAGGAGAGTCAATTAAAAACATTTCCTCAGCCATCTTACAGACATGAACTATAGATAATAATATATTACATTACTCTCTTTAGGCAGATATTTTAGGTGAAGTAAATACACTCCTCAAAAAATATAATTAAGGCACCCATAAATAAAATCAACCTGAAGTCCTTGAGAGACTGGAGCACTAACCATAGCAGGGTCTCTTATGAACAAGCTTTATTATGGCTTAGTATGATGTAGGCACCCAGCCATTACTGGCACGCTGGCATACCCAACTGATGTCAAGATAATTGTCTCTTGCCAAAGTAGCTGGGCCTTAGTCCATGTTGGCAATGAGGCTTGTGAGCAGTGCTGTCTTAATGGCTTACTCCCTGTCGATTGGGAAATCCTTCAGGGCTATTGCTTGCCCTATTGAAGGCGAGGGCTGCGGAGAAGGAAACTTCTGATAGATGGTTAGAGCAGCTGGAACAATGAGTTTTGCCTTCTCTCAGAGGGTAGGAACAGGGGCAATATACCAGGAGAAGCTTTCTCTTCCTTACCTCTGGATCACCTGCAGTGCCTGATCCACAGGGTTGCCATTTCTGTTATCCCACCACTGTGTACCAGGCCCAGAGGTAGGAGTGCTTTCAGATATAGTCGGGGAGGCTTCCTATGCAACTTGTCTTCATGCCACAGGAAGGACCCGGAAGGTAAGAGGAGGACTTCACATGTTTTAGGTCTCCTTCCAATTCCCCTATGCGATCTGCTGACATGCCATCTGGGGGTGGAGACGATGCTGACTGAAGCAATATCCCACATCAGCCAGCATAGCATATTGCGGCATTAGGGCAGGTCATTTGGGGCGGGGGTGGGGGTGGGAGGAAATGAAGCAGGAGGAACTCCTAGTTCAGGTGGTGTCTCTACCATGAGTCCTCAATGTCAGGAGGGGAAGCAGTGGATTTGTCTGCACCATTCCTAAGCAGCCAGTAGGAGCTGGGCGGATCCATTCTCCATCAATATGACTCATTAATTTAGCCATCACTAATGTGTGACACAATGTGCAAATATGATGCTTCTGAAAAAAGTGTGAAATATTGACACTGAATTTGTAGAAACTCAAAGTCCACTGGCATCAGTTATAAGCAAGCTGCACATAAAAAGAAGGCTATCGTATGAGATGACCTTCAAGAATGGTTAGCCATCTATCCTCAAGGGAGGATAGATAGACCCTTTTAGGGAGACATGAAGAAGCTTTCTATGACATGCTCACAAACCATGATTTAACTTTTTCTGACTAACATGTGTGTCAGATCCGTGTATCTGTCATTTCTTCAGTGGAAGAAGAAAAGGGGGGGGGGGGAGAGACTGATAAAGAAATCCTTTCTTGATGTAACTTGAATACATTCAATCTTATATCAAATTTGTATAAGCCACACATGATACAATGGAGAGAGGAATCCCAGATGGCCGGAACCTAACACCCCTGAGAGTCACAGCCAGGAGATCAGAAGACCATAAAAATTCCAGTGAGATGTATGCTTGGGAAACTGTGGAAAAGATCGTTCCTTCAGAAGAGGTGGGGGGTGGAATAAACATACTGGCTTTTGTTTCACAAAATACACATTGAGAGAAGGGGAGGGGTTCTAAACTGCCTTATCTATCCTGGTATGCCTGAGAGACCTTAGACGCTGCTTTTAACCCCTACATGAATTGTCTCATCTCAATAAAGGATTCCTTTTTTGATACGTTTTGATACGTTTCCCGAAGTTCAGTCTAGTTGATTGAATGGGAAAAGTTCTGTAGCCTGACAATGTGGATGCTGGCTATACCTTACCTTTTGAAGCAATGTGCTGCTGTCATCACCCAACAACTGCTGATAAGTGTTGCACCGCACAGCAAACGAGCATCTTTGTGAATCCCCTTCAGACGCAAGGAGACCTGCCATGGCCAACTTCCCCTGAAAGAGAAAACCAACAAAGATACAGCAAAGGCCAAATACTGGCTTGGATTTTCATGGGGAGGTTTTATGTTACACTTCCACCAGCCTCTGTTGATTTGTATAGTTTATTAAACAAACTGCTTTGTGTAGGCTGGCATCATTCATTCCTAGAATAGAACAAAATGATTCCAAGCAGCCTTGCATATCAGAATGGAAAGTAAAAGAACCACCTGCCTAAATCCTGTATTATAATGTGCCCAGCGTGTCAACAAATAGGTGTTTGGAACTCATCAAATATCTAGTTCCCATCTCTGTCCATATTTCCTAGATTTCCTGGCAATTTTAACAATCTTATATTTGGGTACTAAATGCATATTTGCTCATTATTCTATGGCCCACTTGAACATGAATGAATGAAAATTCCAAATGGTCTGCCAGTGCCATCTCATTTCAGACTCAAGTTATCCACTTTTGATGAGCAGTAGATGAAATTGCTGCTCTCCTGTACCTGCTTCATCTGGAGTTTAATACTTTCTGACTGAGCAAATCTGCAAATGGCTGGAAGAAGGCATTTTGTCCAACAAACTTAGATGTCTGCTTTTGTAAGTTGCAATTTTGACTTTCAGAAGCTGCACTTTTAACCTAAATTATACATTGACCTTTCTAAAATGCACTTTTGCATTTGAGAAGAAAACGGCATGCTTCTCTTCTCATAGTTCTGCCTGTGAACACCATCACACTATAAAACCCCAGGTAATATTGTTCCTCTTCAGAAGAAATATTGTAGAATTAGAAAGGGGGCCTGGAGAAGTCCTAGGGGCATGCATAGCACAATTCCATGCTTTAACCTGACGGTTAAGCTCAAATGGGCTTATTAATGTTATTATTAATAGAAAAGTTGAATGCTGTTATTTGGATCAAGAATAAAAGAATCGCTATCTTAAAATACATGCAGTATTGGGATATCAAAAGTGTAATTTATGTTAAAGTGCGACTTACAGAAGGCAAGAGTTCAATTTAGGATGGTCAAAAGTACAATTTAGGTTAAAAATGCAGCTTCTGAAAGTCAAAATTGCGATTCACTAAAGTCAAAAGTACATCCTAAGGTCAGAAGTGCCATGTTTTACTGTAGGCAGGGTCCTACAGTAGCCTTTAAATATAGGCTAATTAAAGAGGGGCAACACTGGCAGAGGTGGGATTCAGCAGGTTCTGACCAGTTCTGGAGAACCGGTAGCGGAAATTTTGAGTAGTTTGGAGAACCGGCAAATACCAGCTCTGACTGGAGATTTTACAGTATCTTTCGCCTGCCAAGCCACACCCACAGAACCGGTAGGTAGTAAAAAAAAATTGAATCCCACCATTGGCAACAGGGTCCAGCCAACTTGTCACAGACTGTCAGTTCTACTTTAATTTAATGGTGTATTTTCATGGCACCACAGGGCAGCTACAGAAACCCAGAAAAAGTTGTGACTTCTTTAAGGAGTTGCAGCTCATCTACATTCCCCACAAAGCCTTTTTTTCCCTAAGTGCACATTAGTGGGGTATTTTGTGACCCAACCTAAACCTCTATCCTCCTATTCACAAAGTTTGCAATTTAGAATTGTAAAGTAGGTTGGTCAGTTTCCTTCCTGCTTTGATTTGTTTATTCAGCTGTTATTCAGTTGAACAGAAAAGGTCTGCTCCAAAAACTTTCCAAAGCAGAGGTTTATTTTTTTTAAAAAAAATATTTTTAGCACTTCAAAGTGCTAAAACAAAGTCTCAAAGTAGTTTACAAGATTTATGGTAAAACAATTGTTTACCATTGAAAAAAAATATTGATGTGCAAATGCATGCCCATTCAATTCTTTATCTGGCAGTCCAGTTTGTAAAAGTGTAAAATCGCTTTTAAGCTATATTAGTCTGCTGGTCTTTCCATGTAGCTTCCTGGCAACAATATGAAGGTGATTTTCTGTTGCCTTCTAAAGGAAAGGCCAGGTGCTTGGTCCACAAAAGAAACAATGGTGATCACCTTGAAGAGGCCTGCATAAGCGCACCAACGTGCCTACTGTCCCTGTCCTATTGTTTCTTTTTATTTTTCTTATATATCTATTTCATGTATTCATATCTATGTTTATACTTATACCTGTTATCTTATAATTGCTTCACAAAATAAAATAAAATAAATAAAAAAGCTGAGTAGATCAAGGGGGCAACAGAGGCACTTTGTCTGCTTCAGAGAAACCTGCACAAAACCTTGCGCAAAACCCCAATTCTCAAAAACAACGTTAGTTGATTATTGCTGAGCTATTAGTGGTCAGAGCATTTACAGAATATATTTCTGCTTTGAGATCTGAACAAGTCTTTTCAGGTGGTGGTGAATGGACACTTCAATATTGGCTCTGGTAGGCTTGTTGTAGTACCCACAGAGTGTTTTGGTGACAACTCATATTTACTGCACACAGAATTTTTGATACATCTTCTATGTCCAGAATACTATCTAATCCAGTAGTCAAAGTATATAAATAAAATGCTTGGAAAATAGCTAAAATAGCTCTTTTTATTTGCTACTATCAAAAATCCAAATGGAGGAAGTGGATAGAATCAGAAGGTAATCAATGGGCTAATGTGCTGTGACATAGGTGATACTCTAGTCGCTCTTTTAAAAACTTTGAGCCAGGGGTGGGATTCATAATTTTTACTACCGGTTCAGTGGGTGTGGCTTGGTGGGCATGGCATGGCTTGGTGGGCGTGGCTTGGTAGGCGTGGCAGGATACTGCAAAATCCCCGTTCCCTCCCCACCCCACTCACCTGCTTTCCAGCTCCGTTCTCCTGTGCAGGGCAACAAAAGGAGACCAGCCAATCAGCTGGGACTCAGGAGGCAGAGAAGAGATGGGGACAGGGCCAGTCAGAGGGGGTATTTACCGGTTCTCCGAACTACTCAAAAGTTCAACTACTGATTCTCCAGAACTGGTCAGAACCTGCTGAATACCCACCTCTGTTTTGAACTCAGGTTTTGAGGGCTTACAGCATTTCAAATATCTTTTTCTGCAAATTCTTGACGAAATATGGTGGCAGTTCAAATTCAGAGCATATTGAATAAAACAGATTATCTGTCTTAATCAATTACAACTTTACAATGGGCTACATGAGTGCCAGTAATTAAAACTGAACACTATAGCATAATAAAAGCCTGATAAATACTGTATGTAGTTCCATAACCAAGAATTAGATTTATATTCTAGAAGACACATTTGGGGAAATTTCTTGATACAGCTTTATTGAAGCCTAGGACCACCCCTGAATATAACTTGAGTTAATGCTGAATGCGTGGTCAAGCCTGAAACTAGTACAATCAAGTGGAATCGAATAAGAATGATTCTAAAGAATATATATTGGTTATTTCTTTGTTTTGGAGTCCAATTCTTTTTAACATTATTCTGAACTCAGCCATCTCACTTAGTGAAGTGTGTCAGGGCATGAAGCAATAATGGGTTTGCTTCTTAACTAATTTGTTGCAGAGCCTACCAAGGGTTGGGGTTGACAGGCCTGGCTTAAAGTCAATCCAACTTCCTTTTGTGCTTATGGGAAGATTAGAACCTGGGTCTCCTCACTCCTAGTCTAGCCCCTTAGTCATTACACCATGCCAACTTAGACCTACGGTATCTGTTGAGGATCTCAAAGTATGTTTCAGGAGTAACAAAGGAGAAGGACCTGAGAGGAGCTTAATGGTTTTCTTGCAGATGTTTCATTACCTGATATTACCAGGTAATATCATGAGTATCACCACTGATTCTGTTGCCTAGGTTGGTAATGCAATGTCTTCAAGAAAACCATCAAGCTTAAAGAGCATCAAATATCCTCTTCTATAAGAGAAGACCTATTTGCTCCACTGATAGAACATCCTGCCCACAGAAATATAGCTAGCGTGAACTTTATTGTGTACTCTGGAGCTCTGCTTTTTCATTTGCTCAAGCCTTTTAACATATTGATCCACCATTCTACAGTATATTGCTCTGTCATTTCATTTGTTTTATGCTAACATTGTGTTCTGTTTTTATTGCGTACATTACTCTTCTAGGTTTAGATGAAGAGTAGTCTGAAAATTCTCCGGCAGATACTTTCTAAAAGTTAAAACATAGAAAGAGGAAAGGCTTAGCAAATACCCCAAGGAAATGATGTCAACCTATGGAAAGATTTTAAGTGAATTGTAAGCCACTTTAGCAAAATTTCCTTTCAAGGATGGGGTTATGTTTATTTTAAATAAATTAAACAGATCGGATAGGTGGAGACCAAGAAATCCCTCTTCTATCTACTTTTTTCAACCTTGGAAGAATGAACAGTCTGATTCCAACTGGGGCTTTTTATGTACTAAAAAAATAGATGCCCCAAAGTGAATAGATTTTCCTGTTCACCTAATGAGTAGAGGCACCGATATTTTACCAGAAGAACTGGGAAGGTTGCAGCTGTGAATTGGCACCATTCTGCCATTTGGTGAACGTAATTCTTAACAAGATATGCTTTTAAGAGTTTCCACCAGCCAGATATCTTTACAAAAAGCAGGTGTAGTGTACCATCTTATATAAATATTTGAAGTCTGCTAGAAGTAAACAGGTAATAATAAGTTGACAACAGTTTGATGATAAGAAGCAAGCAGGGTACCTGGAGGATTTGTTTCCACCAATTATCCTTCTGTTGCGGTGTTGAGTCAAACGAAGACCACACAGGCCACTATTGGCACCTGCCAAGAAAGCCAAAATGATTAGGTACATATCCTTTTGCCACTATGTGGATGCCACAATCACATTTTGGATATGATGTAGGCCAGTGGCTGTCAACCAGTGGGCTGGGGACCACTGGTGGTCCACAAGAAAATTTTGGTGGTCTGCAGAGAAATGTCATCCCCAAAGCACCCCCCCCAAAGCAATTAATCCAGGCTGCGTGGGAACACAAGGCTGTGCAGCCCACATGGCCTGCGAGAACACAAGGCTTGCATCACTTGCATTGCAAACAACAGGAGGTAGTGAGGGGAGGGAGGAAAGGGCAGAGGGGGGGAACTTGCCCCACTCACCCCATGCATCTGGCCTGGCTACTGGGCTGCTTCTTTCCACTTCTTTCTTCTTCTGCTTTTGGCTGCACGCAAGGAAAGCAGCAAAAGTCTTTTTCTCTCCCCCAAACTCCGCCAGAAATGAGTCTTCGGGACCCTGCAAGGCCTCCTGCTCCAAGAGGCTGCGCCAGCATGACAAGTCTCACAAAGACTAATTTGTGGCGGAGTTTGGGGGAGAGAAAGAAAGACTTCTGCTGCTTCTGCTGTTTTCCTTGCACAAAGTCAAAAGTCTCTCTCTCTCTCCCTCCCTCCCACCCTCTCTCCCTCCCTCCCTCTCCCCCCCTCTCCCTCCCTCCATCCCTCTCTCTTTCCCTCCCTCCCTCGCTCTCTCCCTCCCCCCCTCTCTCTCCCCCCCCTCCCCCCCGAGAACGGAGCTGGAGATGGTATCCTGAGATCTCAAATAAAGTATGATCGATCAGTAGAAAAACGAGGTGGGGAATTTTCGTGCAGATTTTTTTTGCGATCTTCCCAGGGTCTCTGAAGAAAAAGCAGAAGCACAGGACTGGCAGCTCTGGGATGATCAAAGGGCCAGTCCTGTGACTACTGCAGCTCTGGAATATGGGACCAACTTTCCCACCAAAGCCAGCAAGCCACTGTCAGACAAAATTCATATTAGTGGTCCAGGGGATTTAAAATTATGAGTTTGGTGGTCCCTGAGGTCCAAAAGGTTGGCGACCCCTGCTTTAAGAGCTCTAGAAGAAAGAGCTAATACTGAAGTAAGCTGATAAATAACTTGGAAATAACATCAAAGACTCAATTAACACTGCCAGGGTGGAGAGGGCAAGACAAAATAGGCATTCTGCGATACACCACAATGTAGAAGGAAGGAAGAACAGGGACAACTTAACCAACAAGGTTGTTGTTGTTGTTGTTGTTGTTGTGAAGGTGATGAGAGAGAGAAAAAGAGAGAGGAAAAACAGAATGTGAGGCTGCTGGGGAAGGCAAAACTTCTGGAAGTTACTTTGAACTAACTAACTCTTCCCAGCTTAGTTTTTTAAAGGCACTAACACATTTTTAAAGGCCAAAAACTCATTGAAAAGGATGAAAGTTCCTTTGACTCACCTAATGCCATTTTATGTAATGTCCAAACTGTATGCAATTCTTCCATCTGCCCCAAAGATGTATAAATGTCTACATATATAATTTTTCCAGCAAATATATATATTTGAAAGAAGATATGGGAATTTGGCCAGTTATCACCTTACCTTGCCATCGGCCATGGCTGGAGAAGTTGCCTGAATCAACACACAGAAAGAGACAGAAAACTCTATGTCCTTTACCTGTTGATATTAAAATTAAACTCTATCCCTTCATTTTATACGGAAGTCAGATAAAGAATAAAGCTGCAGAACACCCGTTATCACAACTAAAGACACATCAGTGACAAGGAACAGTATTTTTTTTAGCGTGGCCTATTAGTTCCGTACCGGTTTTGTCTTCAGTAATTCTGTTGCTAACCAGGGAACAGCGAATTCCCACATCTTCTTCATGTGAGCAATCATGTTGACCCCAGTTACTATGGGGACAATCCATCAGAGATGACTCCGTGCCTATGCAAGCTACATCATCAAGCAAGATGAAACTTTGGCCTGGCGCAAATTCACCCTTTGATGCCAGCCTGGCAGGACCACTGAAGAAAGAGAGGGGGGGGAGGGGGGGAGGGAGGGAGGAAAGGAAGGAAGGAAGGAAGGAAGGAAGGAAGGAAGGAAGGAAGAAAGAAAGAAAGAAAGAAAGAAAGAAAGAAAGAAAGAAAGAAAGAAAGAAAGAAAGAAAGAAAGAAAGAAAGAGGCTAGTAACCTTTGTGTTCAAAACCTCCTTCAGAGACTAACTACTCTAACCAACAATTCTTTATTCTTTGGGAAGAGGTGCATAAACCCAATTTAAAGAAGAAATATACTTGGAAAGTGAAGGTGCTTCTTTACATGTGTTCATTCTCAAGACATTAGAAAGTTTCTTAAACTAAGCTGCTTTAAGATGTGTAGACTTCAATTCCCAAATTCCCCAGTCAGTCTAATGGCTGGGGAATTCTGGGAGTTAAAATCTACACATCTTAAAATCGCCAGGGTTGTAGGACACTGCATTAGAAGTTGCTACAAAAAAATCCTTCAGGATCCTGCACAACACATACTGTATATGTGAGCAGGTAGAATAACATAACAATAGAATATCAGAGTTGGAAGGGGCCTTGGAGGTCTTTTAGTCCCCTGCTCACACGTACAAGCAATATGATAGTTATAAAATGCATATTATTTTTAAAAATTCATTTTAATGAATCAGGGGAACTTCTAGGTGGAACTGCTTGAATTAAATATAACAGAATTGTTTATTTATTTAATTTCCTGCCTTTATGGTTTTTATAAATAACTCAGTGGCCAACATTCCGAATATTCTTTCCTCCTATTTTCTCCACAACAACCCTGCAAGGTGACTGAGTTAAAAGAAAGCAATTAGTACAGATCACCCAGCCAACTTCCATCCCTAAGGTGGGATTAGAACTCACAGTCTCCTGATTTCTAGCCTGGGATCTTCATCACTAGACCAAACTGGGGCTCTTTTAACGTTTCTCCTTTAGTACCCTCATCTTTCCTTTTTTTCCAATCTTTTCCTCTTTTTCTAACACTGGGAAGCACAGACTTCCCTTTTTATATACATTAAATAAACACCGATATACAGAACACTGTGGTATAATTCAGATATTGCATCCTGTCATAGTCAAGACATTTGTGACCATTGAAACAGAATACACAGTTGAAATTAATTTACAGACAGTGACATTTTGACAATTGACGATAGACTGCTCTCACTTACCTGAAGCCCAGCTGTCTGCAAGCAACCTGAGCATTGATTCCTGTCTTCCAGCCATCATCACAAATACTTCCCCATCTTCCATTGTGGTAGATCTCTACCCTTCCTTCACTTGGATGGAGGCTTCCTGCCAATCGGATTGTTCCTTCTGCTTTGTTGTAAGAGATGAGGGGGGGGGGGAAACAGCAAAAGCCCCTAAAACTTTCTTTCTATACCACTTTCAGAAAAAAGAGGTTGTAAAGGCAGCCTTCAAACCAGCTATATATTTGGTCAAGTAGTTACCTACAAAGGGGTTACAAATAACCCCAGCATCTTCAATATGGTCGCAGTTGTGTTTCCCCCAATCGCTCTTCTTGCACTGGTCCAGTGAAAGCTCATTGCCTGAGCATTCGACTTCATCCAGCAGGATTGGGCCTGAGCCCTTCCCAAAGTGAGCCCAAGACACAGCTCTTGAGAATCCACTGGGAGGAAGAGAAAAACACACAGCAGAAGAACTGGTGAACAGCAGAGAAAGCGCTGCTTTGAACAATATGTAAGAAGAGATTGCCCACTTGCCCACTTAAGTGTCCTCATTCAAAGAAATTACCTGAGATCCAAGTGTCTGCAAACCACTTCAGCGTCCTTGTCATCCCACTGATCATCACAGATGGTGCCCCAATGGCCACCATGATAAATTTCTACTCGACCCTCAAAACTTGTTTTGCCTCCTACCAGACGCAGTGGAGATCCTATAGCTGCTTATCAAAAAGAACAAGGATAATAAAGAAATACCATCCAACACAATCCCAATGAGTACACAAAATAGTTCCCTTCAGCTACTACTACAAATCTTTTTCTTGACAAGATAAATTGTATTTCTTTGAATATACACCAGTTTGATCTACCAACAACATTTTAGGGGATAGAAGGGCTTATCCTTCACCAGGTCAATGTACTCAAAGCACCCCATTCACCTAAATAAAATGGCAAAAGATTCTAACTGAAAAATGTGTGTGTCACGGTTCCGACCGATGCCATAATTAAATCATGAGCCTCAGGCCAAGCTTCAAAAGCAATCCAGTTATTTATTAGGAGCTTGATGTCGGCACGGACCAAGTGGAGCCAACTCTTAATTTGTGCTTTGGCTCTGACCTTGTTTCCCACTCCCCCAAGATGTGTCACATTCCCCAACGAAGCAATTTCGTGGGTTGTAAAAGTCACTCCTTCTGGCCTATGTGGGTTTCCGTGTATGTGGCCTTTACGTTGCTGGCTAGAATATGCATTGTTTTGTGTAAAATGCAAGTTCCTTGATGCAGCTGCGAGATTCAATTCCTCCTCGAGATGGCAACTCGAGAGCAGGTCAGGGATGCTTCGCGAGTTGACAAGTGTGTCCATGTAGTCTGGAATTGTTTATCAGCAATTAAACATTTAGAGTTCATCATTTACCTCATGTACCATTTCCCCAATTTTCTTGGAAGCTATCAACTTTTGGACTAGCGTTCCTATGAAAAGTTTCAAACTTTATTTTCTAATTTTATCTTACCCTGCTAATTTTAATAGTTTTTTTTTTATTTATGACTTTATTGTAAGCCGCCAGAGTTGCTTTGGATAATGAGATAGGTGGCATATAAATTTAATAAACAAACAAACAAATAAAGCTTGTGTTGAATATGTTATACCATATTATTTTTGACCTGAAATATACCATGCCGAGATCCAGAACAGTATATAAAATGATTGTTGAAACTTAAAACTGCTGTTTCTCCAGTGACAGCACGCAAAGATGGTATTGGTCTTCAGTCAGGCAGATTCATTTCTTTCATTGTTTCATTCATTACAGTGCTTTACGCTCAGAATCAACGTGCAGGAACATTCAAGCACAGTCAAGATAGTGGTTGTATCCCTATGAGGAAACCCTGTCTCCTTACATGCATTGTGACAAGCATCGAAGGAGAGGGGGCTTTGATCAACTTATCTTGGATACCAACTTGACTCATCTCCCTCATATTCACAGATGTCTGTACAGCAGCACAGAGATGATCTTGGAGAAGAGGGGTGGCAACCATTAGCAAAATGTAAGCTTAGTCCTGGATAACAAAGAATGAAAAGAAATCCAAGCTTGCTTTGCTTTGATTCTCTTTCAGAATCTTTGAAGAATCTTCTCAAAGGATTGACAATGCCGCTTCACCAAACATTATTATTTTGTAGTTTTGCTTAGACACAGCAAACCTTCAGGATTATTGACTTTCCACTTTGCTAAAAGAAATGGAATAGGAATATCATCTATGTGTATGGCCTCAAGTGTACCTTGAGATGATCCACAACTGGCTCCTGCAGTTCCCTGGATACAAGCTCTAAATATTTCCTGGTAACTGCACTGGGACAGCATCTTCTCATCCCCACGACAGTTTGCAGACTGAAGATGTAAGGGTAACAGCTCCGGATTGGAAGAACGCTGTCTTAGGGCTGTGCCAGTTTCACTGTCCAAAAGCAGAAAGTGCAGTGACTCCACAGACTATAATAGATCATGTCAAGATATAGCTTTCTTCCATATATATATATATATATATATATATATATATATATATATATATGCATGCATGCATGTATGTATGTATATGTATTTCAAGAAAGTTAATTTCTTTTGAGAAAAACAGGTGGCTCAATCCAATGACATGTTTCTTACCTGAGCCCCAGTTGTTGGCATACCACACTGGCATCCAAGTCAGTCCACTCGTCATCGCAGATCAACCCCCACAGTCCTTTGTAGTATACTTCCACCCTGCCACTTTCCGTAAGTCGCACTGAATCTGTCAGAGCAAAGAGACCAAAAGAATCATGTCAACGGACTCTGCAAAAAATTGCAAAATGTCCTTCCCAAAACAGGCCTCTTTCTTCAGCTGCCATGGAAGATGGAGGAAATTCCTCAGGGCTTGGGAGGGCACAGATTTGTCGCATATGTTTTCTATATAATGAGAAGAGGAACGTTAGCTGACTGGAAAATGAATGCTAGCTAGTTTCTATCAGTAATGAATCACAATGTGAGAATTCTTAATAAGACCGAAGTCTTCTTTTTTACTTGACTTTTCCATATTTATTTATTATATTTGTATCCCGTGTCATTTAATCTTTTTGATGAATGAAAAGGTTGCACTGAGAAGAGAGTGGTACAGCAAGTCCCCAGTTAGAGAACACCCTAGTTTAAATATGACTCATAGTTAACTACGGAGTCTACTGTAGCAAAATCTGAGTTAAATGCATGACGATTCAAGTTAAATATAGTTCAAGTTCATTACTCAATACTATACAGTATTAAACAATAATTATGTTCTGGCTTACGTACAAATTTGACTGTAAGGATAGACCTTGGGAGTGAAACCCATTATTAAACCGGAGACTGCTTATACGCTGCTTTCAAGGAGAGAAAGTGCAGCTAAAGGAATGTGGCTGCAGAAGCTCCATGGAAGATGATTCCTTGAATCTCTGCTTGAATCTGTCAGAGCAAGATTACCGAGATTACTTCCTAAGCAAGTTACATTCATCCATCCTTTTCAAACTTTGTCTCCATTCACAAGGAAACCCGCCTTCTCATAGTACAAACTTCAGCTGGGAAGTATTGTAGGAGGGTTCGTAAGGCCTCAGTCTTTCTTTCCCAACATCCCTTGGAGTCTACTTTGTCAGACTTGCCTCATCTTGGACTCCTAAGTAGAAATGATCCTTGGCTACATTTGTTGCAAAAGGAATAGCTTCATTAGAAGTCAAGTGAATTGCAGTAAAGCAAAACCAGAACTGATGTTCGATTAACTTTCCCCGTCCAGTTCCTCTCCTCCTTTTGACCCCTTATTGTCCAGTTATACTTGCATAAATTATTTTTGCAAGGGTCCTGTGTTCTTCTTCCAGGGCAATGACCTTGAAGATTCTGAGTGTCTGAGAGGCACCTGTCAACCATCTCAGCTGTCTGGCAAAGAAAGACTCCTAGCTATTTGTCTTTGCCAAGAGTACTTTACTGAAGCTTAAGCGGATGCTTTTTATCAGATGGGATCCGTTCCATGATTGCCTTGGTCAACTTGCCATCAGTTTTTCATGCTATGCGATCACTCTTTTTTAAAAAAAATGACAATTAAAAAGAAAACAAGAATGGCCATATCACACAATTACCAATATTTCCATGTGTGACTCATGTAAAACAGAGGAACCCTGCTGTGAATGTCATCTTCACTTTTTTGAACACTGTCCTTCCCCAAGAATGTTCCTGGTCACCCAACTTCCTGATGGTTTATGAGAGCTCCAAATGCTATTCTATTCCTTCCCTCTTTCTATTTTCTCCCACCGCTTTCTTTCCAGAGAGAATCCAGTTGAGGAGGAGGAGATACAGTGGGTTAAATATTAAGTACATTTTCTGTGTAACACTGCCTTCAGTTTAGATTTTTGGTAATCCAATTTCCATTCCTGAAAACTTGAATTCTTCATCTGGATTCAAGCTCTGTTTAAATCAAGTTGTTCCTTCTATTTTTTAAAACATTCCTAACAGTTTTAAGGCCTCCTTTTACAGTTATTAATGCCACTCCAACTTTCACCTGTGACGCTTACCCTGGCTACAATCACAGTTTGCCCAGCCAGTTGCTCCCGAAATGAGTTGATAGAAGCACCAAGGGGCTGGCCCCCCATCTGGATTCCTGCAGTAGTTGTGGTTTCCTAATCCCCGATTTGGATACTGCTGAATGTAATCAGGGAAGTCTGACCAGTTTAAGCAAACTGACCCAGAGATGGTTGTGGTGACGCTTCCATTATAGTATCCAGAAGGCTTCATGTCACAGAGAGCAAATGCTGAAAGCGGAAGAGAATGTTTATGTTTAGTTTGATTATCAGCTTGCGTAGTATCTCTGATGGCAAGTTATATTTTGTTTCCCTCTGAAAGTGGTGCTGAACCAGAAAACAGCCACTGTTTTTGTGACAGGATTTTATTAGGCAAAACAGCAGCATCTGCAGTCTTTCTGTCTCTCCTGCCTCCCTTCCTTCTTCCGGCTAAACCTGATCTGGAAGACTATCAGCAACAAGGTCTTTGCAAATGACTCTCCTGAAATGGAAAAGCCAGATAGGATATTGCTGCAGAATTGTCATTTAGGATAGGCTGCATTTTATCACTGGACAATATTTCTATTTCTATCACTGGATATATTTTTAAGACATTAGGCACTATGGACTGTTAAATGCCTTGATCTGAACACTTTATAATTAAATGGATGTTTGTTTTATAAATTTTATATGAAGAGGGGTCAGTGGAAAGCACTGAAGTTTGGCAAGTTTCTTGTAATATTGAAGCATGCTTCCCTCAACAGCTGAGGAAAGAGGAGAAAGAGGAACGCTTATTTGATGCCAGTTTGGTCTTTGGGTTAAAATAGGTCCCTCATTCTAGCTTCGTATTTACTTATTATGTGGAAATTTTGGGATACCGAATCTTGGACTCAATAAAAGGCTCTCTTGGTCACATCATATATCACACAAAACCCAGACATACTGATGACAATCACAGAGCCATTTAATGAAAAAATGATCTTCAGTAATATAAAAATAACATTTATTTGATAGTAATAGAAACATCATCATTTAGTTTCTTACCTGCATTCTGCAATTGATTCTGATTGGGCTGTGATCCAAAGACAGACTGAGGTTGGATAAGGCAGGAGAAAGAACAAAAACAATCAGGTTATCATCCCATTATATAAAAAATGAGCTGATGATCAAAATTTACCTTAAAAGAGCACTTTTTATACAGCACAGAGGATGTGGGGTTTCCCGCTACTTTTGTCAGCTGCCATTCAAGCTTCACCTCATTGAAGGGTTTGGCTGAGACTCAGCTGGGATCCTGGACACCAAGTACAGTTTTTGTGTTAATATAAACTGTTGTGTTAACTTCTCCTTGAGCTGTTCTTGCTGTCCAAAATATGTCTTTGAATACCCAGAGCTTGTATAAAAGCCTCCAGGACATCTTAGAGAGAGAGCGATGAGTCTTTACAACATGATTTTTTAAAACCACCAATCAAAATGTAATTATTTTATTTCAGGGGCTTCCATAGGGAAGGGTCAAAAAGTCGAGCGTGCGTCCATTTATAACTTCCAAAATGAAGAGAATTAAAAGATTCTAAAACAGGGCTATCAAACTTGCAGCCCACAGGCCGGATGTGTCACTGGCCAGGCCCACGCTCGTTTTAGTGAAGGTGAAAAAAGTCATGACATGTCACGTGACAATGCCATGACGATGCAAGTTTGACTTCCCTGTTCTAAAGGACCTAATTCTCTAATCATTCTGGAACACATTTGTTTGATTGTTTATTAATTCACTTGCAACATCTGCTCTGGATTACACACGGAAGAGGAAAAGAATCCCAAAAATACTGGACCAAAATATGGAGATGGATACAAGAGATAGTGGAAGATTAAATAGAATTTAAACCGGAGTTGTTTCTGTTGGGAATAATTAAAGGGCAATATAGGAAAAAGATTAAATATATTTTACTACATATTTTGACAGCAACAAGGATAGTATATGTTGGAAACAAAATAACACACCCTTGGAGGAATTAATAATTCAAAAAATTCTAGATTATGCTGCAATGGAAAAATTGACGTTAAAATTAAAAGATAAAGAAAAGTTGGAGTATTACAAAATTTGGGATAATTGGTATAAATGGTTGAACAATAGAAATAAGGATAAAGGAGATGAGAAAATTATAGATAAAGGTATATGAATGTATATAAAGGTATATAAATGTAGCTATTTACATGAGATTGGTTTGTATAATAATTTGTGTAATAATGACGACACAGTACTGTTAAAATTAAGATCAATATGTATAAAAGGTGAAAAAGAACAATAAAAATTATTGTCAAAAATATTACTACTTCTTTTTCATCATTATGTTGCTGGCACAATTACTATTTTGATTAAAATATAAAAATATACTGTATATTTAAAAATCATTAAGTACACATATTCAATTTCTGACATTCCTTCTTCATTAACTTTGCCCATTCCCTTGCAACATCTGCTCTGGATTACACAGGGAAGAGGAAAGGGCATCCTCAGACATTTTTAAAGATATACCCAAATACACAGTGCCTACAAATATACTGTTCTCTTTTCTGTGTTGTCATAGAAAAAAGTGTTTTTAAATTCTGAATAAGTAAATTGAACAGAGTGCCAAGGTACAAAACTACCTTCAAAGCTACAAAATGTTATATCTTTAAATTCCAGTATTAAGTAACAATAAAAATGTTTATTAAAAAAAATATCAGAACATCTTGATGCTTATGGGAAGGAACAGATGAGAGCTGATATCAAACCTGCTTTCCAATTCTATAGAAGCGAAGTGCTACAGAAAGTCAATCCTTTCTGAGATTTGCATGACTAATTTGCTTTTTTTGTCCAAACCGGATCACTCCCATTCAAGCAAACAAAGGACAAAAGAAAGATAAAAGTAAGGATGCTGATGTCATCTGGACACTTTATGAAATTGCTCTAAAGAACCATGCATGCTGCATGTTAAAAAGTCTGTCTGGAAGTAGCTGAAGAGGTGGGAAGGGATTTATGGCTTGGCTGGGAGCGTCAGAACCTATAGTCAGTATTTTTCTTTTGGGAAATCTTCATAACATCCTTTTAAATAAAAGGAGTGAATCTTGTAGGCTCTTTCTGATCAAAGGGATGAAGCAGTAGGAAGAAATACTTAAAAGAATATCCAGTTTTGCAGTTGAAGTGTTTGTAAACATGTGGAGGCAGACAAGTGTGTAAGGACTCATTCTTAGCCTTTTCCTTTGACAGATCACTAAGCTGTCATCACAAGGGTTTTTTTTTGAGAACCAGCACATGTGAAAGAGGTCAGGAAGATGATATCTGTGGGCAAAATGCATCTGCAAACTAGCTGCTTTTAAATGGTTAAAATCTCAAAAGACCATTACATTGTTTTTGTTGTTGCTAGAGATCTTGTGAGATTGAGATTCTGATTGTATGTTTATATATTATTGAGAGAAGGAGAGACAGTCCAGTCCAAAGCATCAGACTGGGAGACTATAGTCAAGAGGGTGGGGTCAAAAACATCATTAACTTGATGACAAGACTCCGGCCCGTTTTGAATTATGTTACTCTTATCCTAGCATCAGTTTGCCTTGATTATTAGTAGATCAGATTCTTGTGTATAGGTAGCATCAGGGGTGGGATTCAATTTTTTTTAACAACTGGTTCTGTGGGCGTGGCTTAGTTGGTGTGTATGGCTTGGTGGTCATGTGATTGGGTGGGCATGGCCAACTCGACATCACTTATGTCAAAGGACGCTTCTCCTCGCCTGGCCTCTCATGACAGTGGGGCTGTAATGTGCCATTGTAACTTTGAGTGGTCACTAAATCAACTGTTGTAAGTCAAGGATTACCTGTACAAAAATACAAAAAGCTTCTTTACTTGCAAAAAGCTGCCCTAAATACCAATCACTATATTAAAAATATCTGCAACTGGAATTACAAATCAGGCAGGGTTCCAGAGCACCTTGAGGAATTAAAATAGTTAAAATGCAGTGATAACTATCAAGCAGCCAAGTCTTGCTCATAAAGTGAAACCCTTTAGCAGAGGGGTCATTTAAGCTCTCCAGAAAAAGCACACCCAGGAAAAGCAATCCTTAGATCCACTTGCACTACTTAAAAATACCAGCTGGTCTCACTCACCTCACAAGATATCCTAAAGAAATCATCCAGATTTAAGGAAAGGTCACATGCCCCCCAGAAAGGCAGTAAAAAAATCAGTGTCAAGCTTGCATCCTGCCTCTTGGAAGTACACCCCAAAAGGACAGTGCCAGATACCACTAAAGCAGTGAAGGAAGACTCTCCCCATATAGAAAAAAAAACATGAGGCAGGAAAAAATTCAAACACAATACAAATAATTATATCATAACAGTAGCTGTTGCTTGTTGAAGCTGAATAGGGAAAATTATCCCATCAATAAACACAGGATTAAATGTCACCAAGCACAGAATTAACCTTCACCAAAAAACCAGTTTTAGACCAAAACTCAGAAAGGGTATGTAAACTCATGTTTGAATGTCAATTTTTCTAGCTAGACAAGTAGCCTTGCTGGATATCACTCATCTTGGTTCCCTGTCATTAAAAGCTTCTTTCTGACAGCTCTGCTTCATTATTCAATTATTTCTTCAAAGTGCTGATTGTCCAGGGAAGTATTTCCTCCCAACAGAAGTGTAAAAATCTTAAAACAACCCTTCTCCTTTAAGAAAGTCAAGCCCAGAAGCTCTGGAGACAGGAAGTCTAGGCATACTGGCAAGGATGTAATACGGGTGGAAAAAAGCAAAAGGAGATTGCTTCTAACTGCTTAGACAGTTTACAAGGGGTTTTATAGAACAGATCAGAGCCAGTAGAATCCCACCCCTGGGTAGCATGAAATAAACGTGAAGTGCTTTGAACTAAACTCCTGTTCTGTTTCTAGTTACTTGACCAATCTTAATCCCAATCCCAATGAGATCTACTATAGCACTGCCAACAGATGGTCATTTGGTAAAAGCCATTGTCAAACAGATCTCATCATTATTGTAATAGATTCTTCCTGTCAAGCCCAAATCTCCTTCTTTTTAATTTAGACCCATTACTTCTTGTCTTGTCTTTGTCTTCTGGAACAACAACGTCAACTTCAAATTTATCAACTTCTGTACCAGAATCCCATGAAGTCTCTCCAATGCTTTGTAGGTATATTAAGGTGTTATGACTCCCCTTCAAAATTCAAACGAACAAAACAGAAAGCAGCCGTTTCACAATTAAATCAAACAGAAAGAAGTCTTACAAGATAACGGCTGGCAGAAATCTCAATCCATAGCATAAATCTTTACTCTGTCCGGCAAACCAGTCCTGGCAATAAATCTCAAGTCTCAGAGCATCTTGCTGCAACGTCCTCACTCAATAAGTCACTTTGTTCCTGGCAAATTTTACCAGCCCAGCTGTGTTCTTTTATACGCATTGAGGCAACGTGCTAATTTACTGACTCGCCCTCCTCCTTCGTTCCAGCTGAGTTTGCCTTCTCAAACATCTTCTGTTCCTTACATTTAACCACAAATTTTCCAAGTTCTCATCTCCACTAGAAGACTCTCTCACAACTTCCCTGTCAGCCATTCCCGGCTGTTGATCAGATAAGGAACCAGAGGAGGTCAAAGGCCTGACAATTCTAATACATCAGGTCTGTCTTCCTTTGTCACGTCCATCTCCTCATCCTGGTTACTAGTCCAATCACTGAGCCATGCCGGCTCATATTTTTCTGCCATGTCCTCCTCACTTGAACTCATATCAGTCATAGGAGCTGAATCCAAGCCCGGAGCCACAACATTAAGATATTAACATCTGCACCTTTACCAGCACTACACTTATGGACTACATGTGGGAACCATTGTGGAATGGTGATCCCATGCAGTATACATTTTGGATGAAGCGGCAACACATATTTTACCATAACAATTAGCATAGGCCTAATAATGCATGGTTGCTTGGCATAGCTATGTGCTTTCACTAACCATCAGTAAATAAAACTCCAGCTATTGGACCATTTAAAAATCTGTAGAACATAGAGGTACAGTAGGTAGAGATTTCCTAAAAAGTGGTCGTGTAGAAAGCCATTCCAAGGAGGAGGAGAAATTATTAATAAGCCACACTACTCTTCAAATGAATACTTAATGCTGATATTTGTTGTACACAGTTGAAGTATTAATGTATCTAGACAAAATAACAAAAATAGACGAGAAAATTAATACAGTATGCTTGCTAGTTCTCCTTGAA